GAAAGGTATGTTCATCTTCAGGCATACATTTGTATAAATACTTTATATTATCTTGAATTCTTTCTTTAGTTATTTTTGGATTAATTTTAGTTGATGTAGCTAAGTTTATATTTTTTAAAGATTGTATACAATTTGGAGTCGAGTTAGAACACATGTTAATTTGAAGAAAATCATCTACACCATGTAATGTTTTATACTTTACTATTAAAAGAAATTTTTATTTCTAATATTACTCGCGTTGGGTTTTACATACGATGAGATCGCATCGATTTGTTCCCGCTCTCTCGAAAAACATTTTTCTGGCAAATATAACAAAAAACATCAAATTTCGCCTTGTTTTCAATATATAAATATATAATAATAGGTTTATATTAACAAATATAGGTACACGACACAAGTCTGATATGTATTTTATTGATATTAGGTATACACCATACACGGATCTGTGAAATTGAACGACGGTCGTGTTGTACAGAATCGTTTTTGCAATAGTTTCGATGAAAATCTACTCAACTCGTAGACATAAGCGGTTTTTCTTTTTATATCCCGACACATGAGCTCAAAGAATACTGTTATATACTTATTCTATATACTGCTCACATTACATTATATCGTGTATTCGTTCCTCAGTGTCCAACATCGTATTCCGAAGATTCCAAGCTGGAATTGTTTTAATCAAATCGAAATCTTAGGTTTGTCACTTTATTATTCCAAGACATTTCTTCAGAAGGTTGTTTGTTTTTATTTTTTTGTTCCGTTTTCGAAACATCAGAATATAACACAATTTAATCTAGTTCAATATATTTTAAGAAATAAAAATGTTTATTTCTTAAATGTGTTTAAATTGGTTTACAATCGTAATCAACAATCATAATTTAATAAGTAATATGATCAAGGTAGAGTTGATTCTATGGGGAAATGCCTAAATTTAGAGAGGCAGTACAATAAGGAAGATGATAATAAACAAATGAGTTCTGATCGGCTGACACTTTAGCACTAATTAACAAACTACCACTTTCTATCCAGAGTTCTATGAGACAACAGATAAATAAATAGAAAAATTAAAAATTGTTTTATAGTTACATTATATTTTATAAGTGGTTCTATAACTTCTAATTATTAATTAATACTTTTAAATTTAAAAATGTATCAATTTAAAAATATATTTGACATTTAAGAACCATGGTTTTTATTAATACCTATTAATCTTATTATCTTCCCTGTGTTAATTGTATAATGTTTAACTTGTACAATATATAATATATATTTTAATTTAAAACGAATAATGGTTTTCGGGGCTTATAATATTAAGTATACTGTATAGTCTACTAGTCAAGTGGTTTTTTGCTGACTGGTGGAAGAGACTTGTGAGTAATATATACCTACATTGCATTTTTCATATTATATAATATAAAACCCTGTAGATTCGTTTGAAATTAGAAATGTAGGTAATTATACATTAAATCAACATTCCATTATATACAAACGGGAAAAAGTATGTTCTTTCTACGTTTCAGTACTTACTGTTTGTCGAATAGCTTTTTATTTCATTTTAATTAAAATTCAAGTCAATATAACTATATTAAACCCTTAAATTCCAACGACCTGTGGTTTTAAATTCTAATTAAAATCTTTATTGCAATTTATGGTATATTAATGTTCGTTTGAACCCAGGCACGTAGCCAGGGGGGGGCCTGGGTGGGCCGGGCCCACCCTAAATATAGTCTGGCCCAAGGCCGGCCCCCCCAAATTCAAAATATAATTATTTTTACCAATTATCAAAAATGTGATTATGCACATTGAGAGAAATCTATTGTGATTAGTGATTACTATTAGGTAATACAATTATTATTGTAATAATTTAATTTTTATATTCGGGGAGCATATTACCATTCTGCACATCAAATAAAACCCATACGCAAATACGGCTTTCTCATTGGTTCACCATTTGGCGCGATAAAATATTTAAATATTTTTAATAAAATAATATTATAATATTATTAAAAAATATAAAATATTTTTTTATTTCTATTATTATATTTAGAAGCAAATTTTTGGAAAAAAAATAATACTGCTTACTTATAAGCATTCATGAGATACAAACTGTTTTATTTTTAAGCAAATTTAGTTTATCATACTATAATTAGTTATTACCATACAGTTATTAAATTAATTATACATTTCAGTTACCTACTACCATACTCAAATAAAATTATAGTTATAATAATAGGTTAATAGGTACCATATAAACAAATTTTCATTTTTTAAGAACAATTATATAATTAAATTATTTATTTGTATATATAATTAGGTACCTATACCTACCTACCTACATAACATATTAATATATATATTTTTTTTTTTAATTCCTCCAATAAGAACTTAGAATGAGGGAAGAATGGAGAGTTACAAATAATAATAACAATAATAAACACTTTTAACAGTTTAATGAGATTTTGCGTTTGGTACACAATCAGTTACATATTTAAATAAATTTCTTGGTTTCTTTTTTTTGGTTATTGTGTTCTGTTGAATCAGGTCGACCTATAATATGTTATAATTTTATGAAATTAGTAAATCATTAAACAATAAGTATGTTGTAGTTAAATAAGAAGATACCTGATTACTTATAAATCAATTACCTACTCATACATTGTCAATCAGAACTATTTTTTTCTAATCTGCTTTAAAATTTTAATACATTTTCATAAGATGAACTACCAAACTTTGTAATGTTATTTACCATTTACCATTATGCTTTCTATATCTTTCAAAATTAAAAATGATTTTTTTTATCCGTATACACTATTGTTTTATTAGTTTTCATATTATTTTCATCACTAACTTTTTTATTATTTTCCATTATTCTATTAGGTTCAATACCTAGGTAACCAAAAAATCTAAAAAAATATATTAACAGTTATTTTTTATAGACATTTTAAATTCAAATTCAGACGAAATTTAACAAATGATCAAAAATTATCAATTATTGTAATTAAAAAATTATAAAATCTTCAATTTTTATAACTAATGATTGAAAAGTTAGAATAAGGTTATATATGAATTACTTAATTCACAAAAATGTCATCCAATGTACTTAGTATTATCATAGACTGACTGAACTGTCAGGTTTAATAATCGTTTTTCATATTGAATGATATTATATTATTAAATTCAAATTTAACTCCATCCACTAAAGTGACCCACTTGTAATCTACTGTACAGCAGAGCTACACCCACTTGCCTACCTTTTTAAAAATTCAGTCTGGCAGAATTTTGAATAAATTAAGTTGACTGAATAAGTATCATAACTTAATGTTACTGTCATAGTCAAATACAAATTAAACAAAGTTTTGGATATACCTAAGCATTTCTTTCATAGATGTAATATGATAGTTTACAGTACCTTTTTCTAACATTTTTTTAAACATTTAAAAAATATTTTTTTGCTACTTTGGGTAGTATTTTTTAAACATACATATTTTCATGTAATATGTATTAAATAATGAAATATATTAATTAAATTATTATATACATTAAGGTACCTAATTAATAATGAATTAAAATATTAATGAGGTTTTCAAGAATATATAAAATATCAAATATGATATCTAACTTTTTTTTTAAGTTATCAAAAAATAATTGTTTACATATCTATTTTTAGCAACTCAGTGAGGTATTTTGTAGAAACCTTAACTGTTGTTAGTATCTAATGTGTGATAATAATTAAATTGGTATGGTAACATGGTTTATTTTCTTCATAGTCTATGTACATTGTACATACAGTGCATTGTGTAATTGAGTGTTTCATAAATTAATTTCAAAATGAATCTTTCTATTAATTCTGATGATATGCCTTCCTCTTTTAAAAATACTATTGTAAAAAATGGCTCGATAACTATTGTTCGGTCGAATTTAAATAATATACACGATATTGGAAAGTGGGTAGAAGAATTTTCTACAAAAACGAATACTAGGTGGAATGTACGAACAACAGTTCCTAAAGGAACATATATTCAATGCAAGTAAGTAAGCTACCTAGTAAATATGATGTAAATATATAATAATATATATTATACTATATTATATTTATGAATCAGAAATGTAATCTAAATGTTTTGTTATACTACTTTACAGAAAAAATTATGTTTGCCACCATAGTTCTCACCATAAAGTTGACAGAACATTAAACAAAAGAGGTCAATCAAAAAATACTAACTGTAAAGCATCTATTAAAATTTTAGTGAAAATTGACACTGTATCTACTAGAAAAAGTGACCCTTTTGTGAAGGTAGGTAAAATATTAGCAATTACATTTTAGTTGTAGGTATGAAAATATTGTCTAATGCTGAATTTAAAAATAATTATATAGGTAATCAACTAAAAAACATGAAATTAGGTACTATTTATTTATCTGAATAGTAGTACTGCACATCACACAATCTCTAAATTTACTGAAAAATTTAAACCTTAAATTATATACCCACTAATAACTACATTTAATATTTCATGTTTATAGAATAAATACTTAGGCATGATTACTATCTCAAATACTCATAATCATAATATTAATACTGCTGAAGCACTACGGTATTTGAATCCAGATGTTAATTTAAGAAGTACATTTGAAGATTATTTTTATGATGGGATGACAATATCAGATGCATTACGGTAAATATATATTAATAAGAACAATATGATAGATTTAAAGTAGAATGTTGATATGTTGATTTGTTACAATAGATATTGTCATTTGATGTAAATAAATCATAATTTGATTGTACAGTATTTATAATAAAATTGATTAGGCATGGTTTGAATTATACAATTTGTCCATTTCTAATGTTAACATCAATTAAAATTGACCACTTATTCAGTTAGTATTTCTAATAAAAGTTATTATTATTTTATTTAAATGCATTCTATAAACCTATGTATACACAAAAATTAATTGTATTATTTTATAATTAATAGATATCATGAGAGTAGGTATTTTAACAATGGCAAATAAACTAATTGAAGATTTTGCGAATGGTAGAATTAACCCAACATATAGATGTGTGCAAAACTGGCATGACCAGTGGAGATTACTAAACCTAGGACCTCGTACTGGTCAAGGAGTAATTATGGTAATAAAATATATATTATATTATATTTACATGATGAATATATTCTATAAATGTATTATTACTATTTATACTGTTTATTATAGAACCATTTTTATTACAAATTATTAACAGTTTTAATTTAGCAATTTATTACACTACATCAGAATTGTAAATTGTAATCCAAATCCACTAGACTCTTATATTTTCATAAGTATATTACAGATTTTACTTCACAGGTATTTTCTTTTTCCAACTTTTCTATATTTTCTATAGTTAATATCTTTGATGCTAGTAATTAATTCAAATTTTGCATTACATTCTTTACAGCCTATTACTTAAAATTGTATTTATTTTTATTTATTTATTTATTTTAGAAACTAGAAGAAAAAAAAGAAACTTATGCTACAAATGGGATTTCAATTTACTTCCAAGAGGAACCATTTGTTATTCTTATATTAACTCCAATTATGAAACGAGCACATGATTTACCATTATCCAAAGATATTGTATTTGTGGACTCAACTAGTTCTTGTGATCCTGAAAACCATTGCATTACATTTTTACTTACTCCATGTGCTGCTGGTGCAGCTCCTTTAGGTGTAATTTTATCCAAAGGCCAAAGCGAAGCATCCTATTCAAGTGGATTTAATTTAATAAAGCAAAATGTAAAAAATGCATTTGGTGGTCAAGGTTTCCCATCTTTATTTTTGACAGATAACTCAGATGCCGAAATCAATGCACTGAAAACTGTGTGGCCACAGTCGAGATCGCTACTTTGCATTTTTCATGTTCTACAATCAGTTTGGAGATGGCTCTGGGACGGTAAAAATAATATTAAAAAAGAAGATCGCACTTCTATGATGCATAGTTTTAGAAAAATATTATATGCACAGACTTCTGAAGAGGCACAAGAAAAATATGTTGAAACTATGAATATAAGAAATAACTATCCTATGTGGCAAAAATATATCACAGTTCATCACTGGAAATACAAAGAAAAGTGGTGTTTAGCTTGGAGGGATCATACTAATAGAGGCCATCAGACCAACAACTTTAGCGAAGTATCAGTGAGAATTTTTAAGGAAAATGTATTAGGTCGTGTGAAAGCATACAATGTAATTTCATTGATTGACTTTTGCTGTACAAAATTGGAGGAATACTATAAAAAAAAATTTTTAGAATTTTCAAATGAAAGAAATTCTACTGCTCGACTGTTTTTTAAAAATTTAATTAAAAAAACTGATTATATCAGCAAAGAAGAGATTACTGTAGACAATGAAGAATTTTATGTCCCAAGCGAAAAAAATAAAAAAATGATGTATTGTGTTGAACCAAATATTGGTGTTTGCTCATGTGAAGCAGGTATTCATGGACAATTTTGTAAACACCAATGCATAATTTATAAATATTTTAATAAAATTGGAGTTAATTTTCCTCCAGTTACCATAGAAGACAAATACTTTATAGCAAAACTGGCATTAGGTGAAAAAGTACCAAATAAGACATTTTATGAGGGCTTATTACCTACAGAAGTAATTCATGAACAGTCACTTGTATCACATGACTTTCATCAAGATATTGATTATGGTGATGATGCAAATAAAAAGAGTTCAACAGAAAATCCCAAGTTAGAACAACGTAATTGTTTATCCATATTAGATGAAATTACTCAACAAATGTCTAATAAAATAATGAAATATGGCGAGTCAACTTATGAAAATTTATTAAAATTTAAAAAAAGACTTGATAAAATACATACAGAAGGGCAGTTTAATACTTTTTTAGCAACAACAGGTACATCATCATTATCTCTTAGACATAGAGATGGAGCGTCGATCAAAGTACAACCAACAACAATAGCTAGGAGAAGACCAGGGATTACTAGAGGAAGTAAACGTTTGCTAGCAGGTACAAATTTAGATATAAGATAAAAATACAACAATAACAACATTTTAACAATAGCATATTTTACTTTAGGTAGACCAGCAACAACTGATAGTAACCGTCCCAAAAAGAAGCCCAGAAATTTACAGAGTAACATTAGAAATTGTGTGACTAATGCAAAATCACATTAATTAAAGTATACCTATTAATAATATATTATTATTATGTATAAAAATGTCTTATAATAATATTAAAATATAATATGATCAAAAGATATATTATATACAATATGTAAAATAATTTCTATTCTAATTTTCATATTATATTCTTTTAAAAAAGGTATTTAATCAAAAGATATATAATATATATTGTGTTAAATAAAAAGAAATAATTTTATATTATATTTTTTAAACAACATTTTAACCTTAAATTTAAGGTAACATTTGGTCATATTTAATGTACTTTTAATAATAATGTTTAAATAATTTAACAATTAACGAGATTAATTCATTAAACTCAATATTAATTTTAGTACTATATTGGCATATTGCTGTCCATTACTGATGCCAAAATTATTATTATTGTAGATACAATATCTACTTTAATCACAAATTTCACTTGAGCTTTGAAACTTGTGTTTTTAGACAGTCCACTTGCCTATACTGGATAAATCTACTAAATTTGAACTTACCTTGGTTACTTCGTCATTAGTTTCAATAATTAAATTGTTAAAAGAAGAAGGAAGATTACTAGAATTTAGTTTAAGAGTCATTTTCACAAAAGTTCAAGAATAAAATAATATTGGACAACTCATAAGCATTAATTACAGAAAATTGAACTTAAAACACAACTTAGAAAACAAAACCTTTCTAATCCTATTAGAGAGTTGATGTGACTAAAAATAGAAATAATTTAATTGATAAAAATGTTCTATTAATTTCGAACTAACTCTGTTATTATATTAATAAGTAAAAGTAATAAATATTAAGTCACTTATATTACATGACATTCATCAAGATATTGATTATGTTGATGATGCAAATAAAAAGAGTTCAACAGAAAATACGAATTTAGAAAAACATAATTGTTTATTCATATTAGATGATATTACACAGCAATTGTCTAATAATAAAATAATATTAAAAATGATAATTTGAATTTGGCGCTGAATTTGTGAGACCAATGAGAAGGCCGTATTTGCGTATGGGTTTTATTTGATGTGCGGAATGTTAATATGCATTCGGGGAACCATGGATAACTTTATCTGAAATAAATACAATATAATAGGGTCTTGATACCCTTTTTAAAAACAATAATATATTAGCCGCAGTTATAAGTCTATGCTAAGTTAGCTTGCGAAAGAACTTTTTCATGTCTGAGACGACTGAAAACCTTTAAAAATTATATTAATTTAAAAATCGATGATCATTTATCTCTATTATTTTTGATAAGTATTCAAATATGAATTAATTTTTGAAGTTAAACAATTGAAGCAGCTTATTATTTTAAATATGTATGTAGATTTATTTTTCATAGCATGAAAAATGTATCCCATAAGTGAAGATGTAGGTAATTCTATATTTATTTTTTTTTTTTGTTATCAGGTACTTTCTATTTTTGTAATTCTTAAATAAGTAAGTATTAGGTATAACTTGTTGTGAAAAAAATAATTTTAACCAATTACCAACTAAAGGTAAATTATTTAAATTAATAAGATTCTTTGTATTGCATACCCCTTACAAGAATTTCATAAGGAAAAATTATGGAAAGTAATAAAAGGGCCAAACATTATTGGCCCCCCCTAGTAGAAATTTTCTGGCTACGTGCCTGTTTGAACCATTCGCCAATGTATTGCAGTAGAGAAATTAAGCCACTCGTAAAGTCAGATATAGTCTCACAAAATCCCTTTGTTTCCAGTTTCACTTTTTATATGAGATAATGAAAAGTGGAAGAGAATTTATGACTATAATCCTGTTAAGGCAATTGTGAAATAATAAATAATGGTATTCTTTTATTTTTCGTTAAGAAAACACTACTGGTAATATATAAAAATAAATAGTAGGGAGGTTCACAAATAAAATAAAATTGTGCTATACAGCGTGGAAATGTGAGTTATAAGGACCTGCTATAATTATTGAGTGTAAACATATTGATTTGAATGCTGGTGTGCAGGTTTTAGAGTTTGGGAGCACAGCTGGGGTTCATTGGTTACTGCCTACTGGTATCAAATGGGCGTTTGTGTATTGTAAAATGCATCGGTGGAGTATCTACGGGGGGGGGGGAGGTCTCAGCCGTTGAGATTCTAGGTACCTCTACAAGTCATCTGAGAATCGGTAGTTCCGATCATAAGTTATATCAGAACACAATTTATTATTTTTGTCACAAATATCACATAAAAATATTTTCGAACTTTTGTTATTTTCATAATAACGAAATATTGATTTAAACTGTTTCATAGAAAATGTATTTGTGTGTATTGATGTTACTGACTGCCGGCGAGGAAACATTCGCTTGGCGCACGGAGACCTCGTCATCAAGGTGTGAAGTAGCCGACCTCGCGAAATATGGCTAAGGGTGTAACAACCACTGAGGTCTGAGCCTTATACTCCCCGTTACACATGTGGTTTAGTTGGTTTAGTTGATGTTAATGACTAAAAAAAGAACAGATTTAGTGGCAATGTAAATATCACTACTTTGATAGACTTTTTTGGGAAGTGGTCTGGCCCTTTTTCACCGTTAACGTTTTGTTGAACGTTTATTACAATATACGGTGTTCAAATTGTGTGATTCTATTATTTATTACTTGCAAGAGTGATCTGGCATTAACTATTATTAGTGTTATGATTATTATAATAATTAATTATTATTATTTATAATAACTATTTCGATGAACTTTTCATTGTTGTCAATACATAGTGCAATTTCATTATAATATAATATATTATCATCTTTTAGTCGTAGAAAATATCAAGTACTTATATAAGTCACTGGGGCCAAAAATAACAATAAATGCATCATAATTAGAGATCTCGTAGTAAACTCAGTAAATTGTAAGGGTAAAAGTATATTTTACCGAGGTATTTTATTGTGAAAATCGAGTGATCCTTCGCTTCAAAGTTTTCTACAAGTGAAAAATGTATTGTTAAGGTACAGTTTAAAACTATGGAGAGTGCAATCACCAGGGGGTAGATTGGCGAATTTTTTCAGCCTCGGAAATATGGATCAAACAGGCCCTGCACCTCAAATGTAACCCCCACCAAAAAAAAAAAAATTGTCATCATTTTACTAAAATTTCCAAATTTGTTTAGTTTTACCCATAAATTAGTATAATATATAATAGGTACCTATAATTAAAGTTATAACAGTTTTGGGTTAGTCAGATAAGGTTGAACTGTTCAGACTGTTCCAATTTGTACTTGAAGTTTGATCTTATTAAATTTTAGATTCTGAGCGAAGCGATGAATGTATTGGTTTTACAATGATGTGTTTTTTTTTATTTAATTTTTTATTTTTGCGTCTGTCATCATCTTTTAGGACAGTAAAACAGGTCCAACAGTAGTAATTATTTATTCAATAATAATGTGATTTTAGATTTGAGTATTTTAATCATTTCATTATTATATATTCGTATTTCATATTTAGTATTTCCTTTTCTGTCGCCATGAGTATAAAATCTTTTAATTTACTTCTATTTAATGTAGGTAACTAATAAATGAACAAAATCATGAAAAACATGAAAAAACCTATAGTACCTATAGTCTATACCAACGCTTAACAGTCCGAATTTGAAGATGTCATGAACCATGTCTCTCCTACCATAATGATAAGAATTATATTATTAATGATACTAGTAGTAATAGTAATAATAATAATAATAATAATAATAATAATAATAATAATAATAAGAATACGTTTTCAAGCATTAAATTATACAACTCTCCTGCTGTTGTTGGACCCCCTGCCGCCCAAATTGTAAAGGTCGTTTATGACCTTGCACCTTTCCCCGATCCTGTCCACCGAGTCTACCTACTATTGTGTCTCTATACAGGGCTTCAGTGGCGACACTATTGACGGGTAGTTGTGGCAATGTTGCTGGAAGCCGGCAGTGGGGGTACATACATGAACCATACGTGTGGGTGTGAGAGACGCCACACGAAGGGCTCTTATTTTGAAAAGTGAAGCGTGAACAGATCTATAGCGAACATCGTAACATATACACCCAACCTGTTCTACGATATTTTCTCTCAAAAAATCAAAACAGACCAGATTTCCACATTCCACGGTGTTCACTCAACAGGCGGTGACCATACTATAGTAAAGTTATCCACGGCGGTGTTCTATGCAGAACATTATACTAGACAACGGCTACTTTTCCGGAGCGACGGACCTTTCGACATACCGACAGAAGTAAGACAAATTTTTTTTCAACCATTTTGTCCCCACACTACGTTAAAATTATATTGTCTTGGTATAGTACCGGTAGCGGTAAATTATGTCCGGCTGAATTTTAACTCTCCGCCACAGTGTGTATTAGCCTTTTTAGTTTTTATGCATAGGACATAGGTACACTAAAATATACTAGTTGTCATTAAATACAATGTGTAAATAACAAGTATACTATAGGTTCGTCTATAATGCATAATTTTTAATGTTGTTAAAAAATATATCGAAGTTAAGTTTGTATAAAGGTCTGAATTTAAAATATTGACAAAATTATCGTAGAGCTATAGACAATTTTTTTTTGTGGCATTTTTAACAATTATTTTTTTTTCGAGTCATATTATGATAAGTCTTTAATAGGTAACCTATATATAGTAATATTACGAAAAAATATAAAAATATAATATATAAATACACATTTGTACTAAAACAATTGAGATATTATAGACTCTCTTTTTGGTAGATATAATAAAACCACTATATATTTTTGATGTAAAAATATTCTGGCACTGGTATTTTTGAAATTTAGCTCAAAAACTAAATCAGATATATTGTTATACAATTTGTACGCCTTTTGTCATAATTTTATAATTTATACACCCCTTCCACCCCCTATTAACTTGTTAAATCAAAGTAGTATGTTACATGTTTGTAGTGGCGTACATCAAATTTTCTTCTGGTGGTAGGGTATTAAATTATAAAAAATATGTTTATCAGAGTGCTCCTCCCAATGCAATAAATTCTATTAAAG